ACCATTTGATACGGTAATACAACCTCGTCTAATGAATTGGAGCGATTTAGAAGCCCCTCGACAATGGTTAATCCAAGACCTAGTGGGACAAGGAGAATCTTCTAAAACAAAAAAACCTGTACAAATGCAGGCATCAGGAAAAAAATTTATACATTGAAAATACAGTTCCAAAAATTAAAAGATCAACTTCTGTATTTGAAAAAGATTTTCCTAACAAATCATTTCCAAAGCTAAGCATTGGAGAATTAAGTAATAATTCTAATCAAGAATTTATTACTTCAAACAATGTTCAGATTCTTATTTTTCCAGGAACAAGAAAACTTGAACATATTAAGTCCGCATATATGTATCATTTTCAAACAAAAAATGATGATATTATTTTTTCTCCTAGCCAAGGAAAAAGAAGATATACATATGTATTGAGAACATTTAATTTTGCAGGTTACAAACCCTATAGCCTCAGTGTTCTCATAGACACAGGAGCTACAGTTAGCTCATGTAAATGGAATGCCATACCAAAGGAAAAATGAACATTAATGAAACATTCAATTTTGGTTACTGGAATAGATGGCAACCATACTTCCATACAATTCAAGGCTAAAAATATAGCTATTTGGTTAAATGATAGAAAATTCATTATACCAAAAATTTTATGTTTTCCATATATGCATGGAGATTTCCTTCTTGGTAATAATTTTATATATAAATATCTTCCAATGCAAATACAGGAAAAAGCTATTTCATTAAGCATAAACAATGACTTAATTCATATTCCCTTATTAGAGCAACATAAATACATTTGTGATAAAGAGTTTGCGCCCGTGCCGCGTGGTAATTTAACTCCCATCATCAAAACTATTGATGAATCACATTTGATTTATAAAATTTTAGAAGAAAATTTTAGTGAACATCTATTAAAACTATGGCAACGTAGTCCACGTTATTGTAGTTTAAAATTGAAAGACCCTAATATTATCATTAGAGTAAGGCCAATGATCTATACTAGACAAGATATAGATGAATTTGATATTCAACTCGAGGAACTTTTAGACAAAAAATTAATTGAAAAAACTAAAAGCCCTCACTCTTGTCCAGCTTTTATGGTAAGAAACCATGCTAAAATTAAAAGAGAAAAAGCCCGAATGGTAGTCAACTATAAACGGCTAAATGAAAATTTAGAATTTGATGGATATTTTATTCCATGAAAAGATGTTTTGATTAACTTAACCAAAGGATCAAAAATATTTAACAAATTTGATTGTAAAAGTGGATTTTGGCAAATTCAATTAACTGAAGAGTCAAAAAAATTGACAGCCTTCAGTACACCTAGAGGACATTACCACTGGAATGTTATGCCCTTTGGATTAAATATAGCACCACAGGTATTTCAACGGTGGATGGATACAATTTTTAAAGACCTTAAAGATTGTTGTGTAGTTTATATTGATGATATACTTATCTTCTCTAAAACCAAGGAGGAGCATAAGAAACATTTAAAACTACTTTGTGAAAAATTCCAAAAACATGGAATTATTTTGTCTCCAAAAAAGATTGAACTAGAAAAAGAATCAATTGAATTTTTGGGAATAATTTTAGACCAGAAAGGTTTAAAATTACAAGAACATAGTTTGTCCAAAGTACGAGATTTTCCTGATACTCTTGAAAATATAACACAATTACAAAGTTTATTAGGCATTTTAAATTACGGACGAAATTTTATCAAAAATCTTTCAAAAATAGAAATTCCTTGGTTAACCAAATTAAGGAAAAATGTTATTTTTGAATATACAGCAGAAGTTGTTGCTTTAATTAAACAAATTAAAGAAAATGTTAAAACTTTACCGGATGTTTATCTTCCTAAAACAGGTGATAAATTAATTTTAGAAACAGATGCCTCAGAAACATGCTGGGGATGTGTTCTTAAAGCTATACCCAGTAATTTATGGCATGATAAAGAGATACCTTTATTAGAAAATGGGATTAGACCAAGAAAAAATTCAATACCCATAAAATTACAAAAAGAAGAATTAATTTGCGGATATAATTCTGGAACATTTAAACCAAATGAACAGAAATATATTATTTTCAAAAAAGAATTACTTGCAATAAAATTGGCAATAAAGAGTTTTCATATTTATTTAGCTCCAGAAAATTTTATTGTACGCACTGATAATAAAGCAGTAAGAGATTTCTTGATCAATAAAAAACCTATTAAACAAGGAAGAAGATTAACCTGGTATAATAAAATTTCTGAATATACTTTTGAAGTAGAACATCTTAAAGGTACTAACAATTTTCTTGCAGATTTTCTTAGCAGAAATTGTTTCAGAAAATTAAATTGCTAAACAAGTAAATTTAATTTTTGTAGAAGACCTCTAGACCAAGAGGAAACAATGGATAAGGGTAAATAACCCGCTCAAGGAGATTGGATGACAATTGCTAAAAAAGCAATCCCCAGAGAAGAAAAAGTTTATGTTGTGTTTGTAGAAAGACAACCTGGAATTTACACAGACTGGAACGAAACCAATTTGCAAGTTTGTGGATATTCAGGAGCGAGCTATAAAGCATATGATAGCATGACTAAAACTAAAAAAACTTTTTACAGTGCACCAGCTATGCCTGTTTGTCAAAAGAATTTTTGTCAAATGAGAACTAACCCAGTTCCAACTAATATTCAGACATCTAGACCAGATGAATCTGAAATAAAAGATTTTTTCAACCCTGGTATATCTAGAGAAATTTATACGGAACTCAATAGAGTTTGGAAAACTCACATTGTAAACAACAAAGTGAAATTTCGAAAACACATGGGAGTTCTGGCCAACAAATTAGCTGAGCAAACAGCTAAATTAAAAGATTTGCAAAATCTTTGTTTCAATATTCTTGAACAAATGAATTGGAATGAAGATTTTAATTTTGAAAAAATAAACAATTTTCTTCAACTATCAGACCTCATATCAGATGAGTTTTCTGATCCAACTTTTGAACAAATAAAAAGAATTTGTCTTTTTGAAAAAGCAAAAACTTTGCTTCCAAAAGAAATTTTTATGTTAATTAAAAATCGAGCTGAAGATCATCATGATATGATTAGACAAATCTTATAACGATCTTATGATAAATTAAATTTGAAAGATGGAATTCCCAAAATAACCATCATGGCAAACCATGACATGTGATTTTTTGAAGATATAGATTGGGAAATAACTAATCAAGTTATTTTCCAAATTTTAGATCCAATCCAATGGATAGATTATCCAATGATCATCAAAGCAATGCTCTCACGGATAGTAAAACGCTTTCGATGGAGCAAATATTTTACTTTCTGGATCTCCAGCACTGTTTGTTGGCGAGAACGAGAATATTTTTTCCAACCATACCAGATTTGGTATCTTAAAGAAACTGAAGATTTTGAATTTCAAGATGATTATTTAGATGAAGATCACCGGAGAGAGCGATTGGAAAATATCCAAAAACTTTCTTTGACAGAATATTGGATAATCAGTCTAATATTTGTTTCACAAGCAGCGTCTAACATCCATGGCTCAGCAAAATTGCCATTCATGGTTACAGATGGTAGAATATTATTTGTAACTCATTTTCCCATAACATATCAAAGGTCTCTTACACAAATTAATGAGGCTCTTGACATGTTAATAAATCTCAAAAAGAGAAATAATTTGGATCTTCCGTTGGAACTGGCCATGACCGCGGAAGATGTAGAACATTTCCGGAATGAGCAATATAGCCAAGATCCGGATTCCCCTCCATCAGAGACTGATGAAGAATATCACAATCTCATCAACAGGATGGAAGCATAGTGGACCCCACTATCAAATGCAGCTGTCTCCTGATCGACTCCAACCTTATCCAGGACACGTGGAGTAACCTACATTATTTGGCGGAAAGTGATCAGCCACATCCTTTCAGCCGACGCTACACGACAAATCAGCTCAGCCAAAGCTTATCTACAACAGTCTATCTCTTTGAAAATCGGGGAGGGTAGACAGTGTGTATCAGTGCATATAATTGTAAAAACTGTAGCAAAGAGAAAATAATTGTAGTCGTTTTGTATTTATTTTTGTCTCTTTGTATTTACTTTTAGGTAGATTTTTCAAAAAGCCTATGACTAGGCTTGCCTAAAGAGTTAGAAAAATTGGCAACTTTTAAACGTAAAGTCTTACAAAGTTAGATATGTTAGACATGAAAGAAGAATTGTGTTGCTTTCCTCTAACTTTTGTGCTCTAATTCACTACAACAAAAGACACTTTAGTCGCCAAAAGTTAAATTTTGGTCGCCAAAACTTTTTGCCAACTAATTTTTTTTGGTTGCCAGCTTAGTTATTGAAAGATTGTCAGGGAAAGTAATTGGCGACCAAAAAAGGTTTAGTCACTAAAAGCACACAATTGGCGACTATAGTTTTGTCACCAAAAGATTTCAATTAAATTTAACATGACATTTTCAGCGACTAATATTTTTTGTCGTCAAAACTTAAATTGTTTAGCTACTAATATTTTAGTAGCCTAAGGTATAATATTTTCTCTTTTGGCTACTAATAGTTTAGTCGCCAAAAGCATTTTTCAGCGACTAATATTTTGTGTCGCCAAAACTTAAATAGTTTGGTTACTAAAATTTTAGTCGCCCAAAGTATAACATTTTCTGCTTTGGCTACTAATAGTTTAGTCACCAAAAGTGTTTTTCTTATTATTTTTTTTGTTTTTGTTTTTGGCTACTAAATCATTAGTCGCCTAAAGTCTTATTTGTTATGGCTACTAAATTTTTAGTCGCCAAAAGATTTGTTTTCATTTAATTATTTTTTTAGCTACTAACTATTTAGTCGCTAAAAATATTTACTTTATTTTTGGCTACTAATTGTTTAGCCGCTAAAAACATCACTTTATGTTTTTTTTTTAATTAATTTTTCCGCACCAACAACCTGTATATATTCCATGCAACTTGTATGAGGAATACAAACAAAACAATACATATATTATCACTCATTTAACAATCTACATCCATTTCACATCTAATCATCCAAAAATTAATAACTTTAAATGTCAAATTCCATACAAATCAAATATATACTAATTCAAAATAATAATTCCATACAAAATAGGTAATCATATGAAAGTTTTGTCCTTCGTACACGAAAATATATTTACTATTATGCCAAATGGTCATTTGACATGATACAAATTACTATGGTAATCTATACCACAACAAAAGGTAATCTACATATCACGACAATAATTATTTGTTCGATGGCAAAAGTATTATGTACCCCGCCAAAAGTATTTTGTACAATTAATACAAATCTACACAAAAGTAGAGGATGACAAAAAAAAACAGGAGTATACAATAGTGTAAATTGTCCTCCATACACAAAAATGAAATATCAACAACTCCATGCCAAAAGTCGTCTACAAAATAAAAATACACCCATTACGTCCATATACCATTTCAAGATAATGTCACACTGTCTACGGAGAATCTGAGCTGCATTCATGAAAGAATAACATAACTCGTACATATGTTTGTAGAGATCCATACATGTTATGCATTCATTTATTCATGGGCATTTATAGGTTGCAAGCAAGACAAACTAAAAAATGTTTGAAAATTTATGTAATAACTTAATTTCACTTTATTTTTATCTTGATAACCAAACAGAGCACCTAGGGTTGCCATCTTGGTGAAGCTATGTTTCATCATTTTTTCATCAATTTGTCTATCTTCCAAGTTCAATCAGTGTCATAGATGTTTGCATATTGATTGATTAACTCCAATAACATAGCCCCAACACATAAATAGCCCCACAGGTCCTATTTGTCATGAAGAAGTTGCCTGTGACATCCACATAGTGGTTCGAGGGCTGTTTTACATTTTCGCCCCCCAAACACCTTTTTTCGACTAAGTTTAAGGCATTTTTGACTCTAACTCCCAACCTAAATGTGCTACTTACATGTCATCTATCCGCACAGGTCCTATTTGTCACAAGGAAGCTGTCCGTGACATCCATAGAGTAGTTCGGGGGCTATTTTACATTTTCGGCCCAGAAACGCATTTTTTTGACTAAGTTTAAGGCATCTTCGACTCCAACTCCCAACCTATGTGTGCTAATTATATCCCATCTATCCCCACAGGTCCTATTTTCCATGAAGCAGTTGTCTGTGACATTCATAGAGTGGTTTGGGGTCTGTTTTGTATTTTCACCCCTCGAACGGCCTTTTTCGACTAAGTTTAGGGCATTTTCGACTCTAACTCCCAACGTACGTGTGCTAATTACATGCCAGTGAGTATTCCTAATCAATTTGAGAAAAGTGAATATTTCATAGAAATCGATTGCTTACCTTTTCCATGTCAGAATGAAGGCCTTTAGAGTATCCCGATACCAGGTCTTTTGTTGCTAAGTCTCCTAATATTATGCATCAAAACCTATTCAAACAATAAGTTCATAAAATTAACAAACATTGGCAGACACCAATAGCCCAACACAATGTAACTAATCAAAAAGTAAACGGCAATACTACAAGAATATGATAACAAAAATTTTAAATAACGTAAAAACCTGACAACCAAATCAATTCCAAATATTTTTAAAAAATCACTGACAACCAAATCAATTCCACAGATTCTGAAATATAATGTAACAGTTAGTTTAGTCATGCCAAAATTCACAAACGGATAAATATTTTATGCTTCGAAATCCGGTGGGTTCTACATTTTTCCCTAGGTTCAGTTAGTTTCTAAAAACATTGTTCCTTGGCAACTAGATAGAAATATGAGTTGAATTCACCTCAAAATGTGAGTTTGTACGTTGGTTTTGCAGCCCTTTAACTCCCCAAAATTTTTGTCAACAAATGGTTGGTTAGACTAAGCAGCTTTCTACAATTTATACAAGTTAAACACCATATGAAAGCAAAATATGCTATATCAAACTTTCCAAGGTCACCAGTTCTATAGCCAAATCCTATTTCAATTGTCAATTTGAGCCTGGTGTTGCACAACCAAAATTTTGAGTAATCAACATGAAACTTACAAGTCTACTTGAAAATTCCACTCCAACTTTTGATTGTTTATGATGATCAATGAACTTATAGAAACAAATTAAGTAATTGAGGTAGATCCGTTCACAAGTATCCTGTACATTTCTCAACCCATAAGCACAAAGGAAATATTGGGAGAGATGAAGTCCTCTACTACTGTGTGTTTTAAGAAGAACAGGTCAACTCAATAAAGCACGCCGATTCATGATTGCAATTTGTTATAGTAGATAGTATATCCTTCTACATATGCATAAATCCCAACAAGAAAATGTAAACAAATTATGCAACAAAACTCAAATACAAAAATGAACATGATTGTTGTTGTTGTAGATTTGATAAAATTGGAAATCTTCCTGAGGGCACAACATATTGCACATAAACGGATAAATTGAAGTAAAGGTCAAGAAAACTTATGAACCAAAATTTTAATGCTAGAAGTGAAAATAATTAAACAAAAGCACAGCCTGTCTACCCTACCATGAAACAGAATGAGCAGATCTTTGTGCCTCACTGACATAATTAAAAAAGATATGGATCTAAGTAGCATTTAGTCTCTTTAATATTCAATACAAATGGCCCTAGGATTCTTAGACGGGTGCAGACTTCTTTCTTCTCAAGATATGATATACCAAAATAGCGTGGATCCGCAAGCAGGCCAACAAAAGAAATGTAGTCATCTGGTATCCAAAATGTTGGATCCTCTCTTAGACGAGCCCTAGGATTCTTGATTGATAAGTGCCCACTGAAAAATTTTCTCATTCAAAGAACAAAACCCTATATCAAATCAAACTCTATCCTTTAATTGAGTTTCTAGCATGTTATTACAGCTAAACAGCTACATAAAGTTCTCTTTTGCAAAGTACAGCACACAGTTTCTAGCATATTCCCATTTAATTACAATTTAAAGATTCTGCTTACCGAATACTAGGCTAACCATTTGAACCTTACAAAAGGGATGTAAGCCATGAAACCACGTCGTTCAGATGATCCAATTGTATTTGTTGCGCCTCTCTTCTGGCTCAAGCCGCCTCGCCTGGTACCTGTACAGGCGCAGATGGTGCGCCTCGACTCGCCTTGCGCCTAGGCGCGACTTTGACAACACTGTGTGGGCCTAAATTCTTCGTAACAAACTCAATAAATGACTGAATACATTGTTGATACTCTTTACTTTTCAACCTGTCTTTTATCATCATCCAACTATTGTCCATCTTTCGAACCCTACAAACTAAGCAAAGATGAACATGGGAATGGAAAACACATAGAATAATGGAAAATCCACAGTATGCAAGATTCTCCTATTCCTTTTTCTTTTATAAGCTTTTTGGGAACTGTAGGCCCAATCCTTTTACTGAACTTAGAATCAACATCATACTAAAATGAATATATGAGTACTAAATAAATCTTATATCATAAAGGTGTCAATGTAAATTAGTCTCAACACTTACTTTTTTTTTGTCACAACATAATTAAATTAGAGGTGCCAATGTAAATTAGTATTAGCACTTACTTGTTTTTGTTAATTTTGTTTTTTTCCTTTTTTAAATTGAGTGTATTATAGGTAGGAAGGACTCTTATTTTGTAAATAAAAAAGAAAATGAAAGATCAATGCTACTTATCGAGTCATCAAGTTTCTATTCACCCTAGGATTGGAGATAACTTTGTCGTCTACCCACATTTAATCACCAAACTAATTTTGTATACTAACATGTGTGAATCAATTTTGATGCACAAGAAGCCAAAAATCGCACTTAGAAAAGCTAAGTGTGAGATTGGTCTGCATTTCAGTGGATTGGCTATCAGGATGAAATACAATTCATTCATCAGTATTTATGTTGTCATGCTCGCATAAAAGATCAGTTATAGGAAAAATATTCAGTTCACCATGAGTGAAGTATATTAATCTTAAGCCACTTTCAGTCCAACCCACCAGAACATGATAACGTTTTGGATTTTAAGTTTTGATATTGTTCGCTAAAATCACCCTAAACCCAAACCTAAGGCTTTTGAGGGGACTCTTTCTTTACCGCAGAGATCGATCTTTGTCTGTGACTCTTTCTTTTTGAACTACTGCTACTACTCTTTGTTTCTTTCAATTCGACGCGGCTTTCTTGGTCTCGTATTTACAATCAGGTTATGTAACTTGTCTATTCATGTTTGCAATCCAGTAAGGGTTTCCCACATTTGCTTCAGATATCTACGATCTTGATTGAAAATGGACAATACATTCTGTACAAGTTAATTTCTTTTAGTAAATAGTTTAGTATTAGAATACCCCTAGTCGTGTCCTAAGAGCTTGAATTTGGGATTTATGTATAGAAATCAAACCCTATAGCAAGTGTGAGAAATCAACACAAAATCGTCCAGCAAGGGTGATAAATCAACACAAAATGAACACAAAATTTGGGATTTTGGGTTAACAAATTAACACACAATTAAACGAAAAAAATCATATAAAACCCTAGAGCAAGTGTGACAAATGGGAAAATAAAGGAAAGAGGAGAGAGAGAGAGAAATACCTGTGATTACGTAGCGATGGTGATTTGCAGGTGGCGGTGGCAATGTGCGACGATGGCGAGCGCCGGTGGCCAGCGACAGTGGTGAACATTGGTGGTGAGCGGGGTGAGGTTTGGTAGTGTCAACAGAAAGCGAAAAGTGTGAGACAAAACAGTGTATATTGTGTGTGTGTGAGAGACAAAAGAGAGTGTATATATATCAGGCACCAAAAATAATTTAAAACTCTTTAAAACAAATATATTTAACCTTTAGCGACTAAAAGATTTTTTTTGTAGCCAAATAATAATAAATAACGATTAAATATTTTTGTAGCCAAAGATTGAGTAATAGCGACTAATATATTGGTAGCCAAAAGTATCATTTGGCTACTATTTTTTTTTTCATCAGCAAAAATTGAATATATGGTGACTAAATTGTTTAGTCACCAAAAGGTGTAAAAATGTCCATATTATTTGGCGACTAAAATACCATTTTGTTAGCAAATAACTGTATACGACGACTAAACCTAGAATTAGTAGTGAAAAATAGACTTTTGGGGACTAATTTTTTTTTTAGTCCCCTATTACTATATATTTAGTGACAATTTTTTTTTTCATCACCAAAAAGCAATATATCTCGACGAAAATAAAATGGTAGCTAAACCGTAAACCTTTGGCGACAAAAAAAAAATTAAGTCACCAAAATGTATATTTTTGGTGACTAGATTGTTTTGGTTGTCAAATTTGATCACCAAATGTGTATTTTGTTGTAGTCTTTTCATTTTAAGTTTCATTTTGGTTGGGGCAAATGATCAGGGCCGACCGGTGAGAGTTCATGACTCGACTATGTTTGTCAGAGAAATGATGAAGGGTTTCTCTAACGGGTCACCTCTCAGTGCTACAAAGCATTCCAGCCCAAGCCCTCGTGGGGGAGGACACCACCATCTTATTCATTCCAGCATACACCAATGAATCAGTGTTTTGATTATCTTCTAACATTGTGTTGGAAAATGGCTTTTGTATTACCTTATTTTTTACTAACTTTGAGCATTAATTAAGGTGGGACCCAAGCATTATTTTTAACGTTTCTACTTGGGTTCATGTTTAATGTCGCATAGTGAATAAATTCGTGTATTTGGTTGCTAAAAACCATTTCCGGATGAATGAGAATTCAATGCGCGTTTTTGGATTCGTAGAACTAGTTTTGGTGGATTTCCTACACATTTGTGAAATATGCTTATCGCACATTGGAAAGGCTTGAGGTTTTGAATAGGTTTATATACCTTAGCTTGAGATACTTGGGATCAGCCCCAAGGGGTACCCAAGTTTGTGGAAGGGTGAGGTTATGGGTGAAGTGGGCTAGACCCATTGGACCCAAAATTAAAACCCTACGCGCGGCCGCCGTTGCCATTCGGGCTGGGCTTGGGCTTGGGCGCGGGTGCGTGGTGTGAGGTTAGGTTAGGCTTATCCGGCCCAATACTTATCTTTTTGGGCCAAAAACTTTTATATTTTATATTTTATTTTTAATTTTGGTTTCAAAATTCAAAATAAATTAGTCCAGATTTTTTTTTTCACCCTAACAAGTTTAACCCACCCAAACAGTTCAAAGGGTTCAACACAGGTTCAGATCTGTTGAATTCAAAATTGAATTTGTTCCAAACAAATTCAAATCTGTTGGTGCCTGTTCAGCCACCAATCTGCCTATATAAAGTCTGCTCTATCAATTCATTTTCAATCCGAAAATTTTTAGACTTCTTCCTTTTCTTCTTCTTCTTCTGTTCGTCCTCTGTTGCTCCTGCATCTGTTTTTGCATTTATTTTTAGGGAAAAGAAAAAAAAGAGTTACAGCATTATTTGGTTCGCCAGACTTGACTTTATAGTGCTATAAAATCAAGTATTAGTCGTTGCATCCTGGGAAGTAGACGTCGGTTATATCTCGAAGCATCAGAGCGAGGGCGAATTCTACTTTAAGGAGATTGTGTCTAACCCAAGCCTCGACATTATTTTCTATATGCGTTTAATTTGGAAAATACTTTATATAATTATTTTTTGAATTATTTTATTTTATTATTTATTTAATTTATACATTTAATTTACACACATACACCTTTGTAGGTTCTAACAAGATTACTGAATAATCTCATTTTTGAAATCTAAAGTGTTCATTTTCACTTTCAATAAAATCCTGCTAACTCCAACAATTTTTCCAAGTTTGTATGAGGTTTAAGTGTTCATTTTCACTTTTGAAAAATATTAATAAATCCAACAATTTCTCTAAAACAAAACCTTTATAGGCAATTAACAAGTTTGGATTTAGTCCAAAAAAAAAAATGGTCGGAAAAGAACAAAATTATTGAATTATTTGGGCTAGCTATTTGTTATTTTTTTATAAATAAATAAATAAATAAGAGATTCCTATAAGGTATATATTTTGGACCTATTTTCTCTCAATTGATTAAGGGGTGTTTGTTTTTAGAGTTAGGTGGGGTGGGATTATTAGTGAAAAAATTGTTAATGTGAAAGGTGTTAATGAGAGAATTAAGAAAAATTATATTTGTTTGATGACCACTAGACTAGGAAGAATTCATATTTGTTTTGTCCTTCTATGATGAAATTAACTATTTGAAGTTCCATAAATATCTTTGATGTTTTTGACATATTTTAATATTAAAAATTATATTTTATAAGTATATTATTTCCCAAGGGATTATTTTTCCGATACCATCTCGTATGGAGGACTATGAAGCCCAGCCCTATTTTGCAAACAAACACCATTATAGTGGATTTCACACCTATTCTAATCTAATCCCATAATTTATCACCCTAAGCAAACGGGCCCTAAGCCCCCAAAATCAAGTTCCAACGGGTGATTCAATTTGTACCCAAATATTAACTCAATATCCCTAATTAAAATTTTGAAATTTTACTTCCTATTATATCTTAATGTAAATTTTAGATAAATTACAAATACACCTCCTGAGGTTTGCTTAAAATATAGATTGCTTCCTGTGGTTTGAAAAATTACAAATTCTGTCTTATTAGAATTTTTTATTTAACAGAATTAACTAAAAAATGAAATTCATAATTGCCCTCATGTACAATAATAAAATTACCTAAATTATTAATTGAAACATATTTTTAACATCATTAAAAACTGTTAATTGACTTGATAATTTATTAATAAAATAGGGGATTTGTTATGAAATTAGAAACCTCAGAGAGTATCTTAATGTAAATTTTGGATAAATTACAAATACACCTCCTGAGGTTTGCTTAAAATATAGATTGTTTCTTGTGGTTTGAAAAATTACAAATTCTCTCTTATTAGAATTTTTTATTTAACAGAATTAACTAAAAAATGAAATTCATAATTGCCCTCATGTACAATAATAAAATTACCTAAATTATTAATTGAAACATATTTTTAACATCATTAAAAACTGTTAATTGACTTGATAATTTATTAATAAAATTAGCGATTTGTTATGAAATTAGAAACCTCAGAGGGTGGAATGTAATTTTCAAAATCACAGGGGGCAATTCATATTTTAATCAAATCTCAAGAAGTATATTTGTAATTTACCCTATAAATTTACTAATAAGGACAATACACATTAAATCCTAAAATAGAAATATTTTTTTTCTCATGATACACGCTAATTACTTATATATATTTTTCATATTCAAGTCTCTTCATCTTTTTTCTAAAGTTATTATTTTTTCTTCATCTTCTTTCTCACCATTATCATCAACATCATTATTTTTTATTGTATTTTTATTTACAAATAGAATAAATTTTAAATAAAATCAAACAATAAATGTGAATAATAATAATTTTTTTAAGCAATCCATTGCTTAATTATGTGTGTATTCAACGCTTTATGAAACGAAGCGTAATCGAATTCCGTTTCGCTGAACACAAACACTCTCTTGATCATCTCTTCTTCACTCAAATTCCTATTTACAATCACTTGCAATATCAAATCTAACACCACCTGAAAATTAGCTTTCATCCCCAATTCTACACGCCTTACAAACTCAAATCTTCGATATCAAATCGTCTCCTTCGACCATCTGAAGCTTTGGGTTTTTGCTAAAAGTAATGAGTTTCCCTTTCCATGGCTCTTCACTTGGTTCTAAAACCAACACACCAAGAGCAACAGAGACCTCCATTGGAATGCCTTCCATACTATGATACATCACAGACTGCTAAATAATTCTTTAACTTCCCCTTGTTAGATATATCATCCATCACTCTCTTCTACTGAAGCTCTGCAACTTGCCCACAATCAGCATCATTAAACATGGAAGATATTGTTTAAGAGTTTTTAAATGGAATAATTTAGGATTTTTGATTTGTTTGTTATTTGGGTGTATAATAAATTATTATTTTATCTTGAAAGGTAATTTGTGAAAATAGATAGAGTATACTGGGAATAAATTATAATTCTAAATAATTTAATAGAAAATATTGAGAAATTAGACATATTAAATAATTTTTTTTGGTGTAAATAGAATCACTCAGTTCCAATTGAATTTCGAAAAGTTTAGACCTTTTGCCAATGGGCTAAGTCCATCAAGGGAGTGGGCCGATATATTTAGCAGTTGCCCAGTCAAAGAAATTCCTTTTTACTGGCAACTGATAACCCATCAACAAACTTCCGGGATATTACTATGAAAGGTCCAAAGCCTAAAAGCCCAAAAAATGACTCGCTTCTTTGTCTTCCTAGGCCACACCATCCAAAGCAATGTTTTTAAAATCAGACTAGATTAGCTGGTTCAACTAATTGACCCGACGTGGTTTAACTTCAGTTGACCTAACTGTCAAATCAGTGATTTTTTACTCGATCCCTTGTTCAGTTTGATTAGCAGTCTGGATTTCCACAAACAAAAATGTGTTGGAGCTTTAAAATATGAAATTTAAAAGAGTTTTAAGAGTGAGTTTCATTCTATTGATGAGATGTTTTAGTGTGTTTTTTTTTTTCTCCTCTTATCATATCATTATCATATCATTAGAACTTTTTTTATACTGTGTTTGGTTAGAGATTTGAAGAGCGATTTAGAAAGAGAAAGAGAAAAAGTATATGAAATTAGGTGAAATGTAAGTGTATATTATTCACATTTCACCTACCTTTTCTATTTTTCTTTTTAAATTTCTTTTCAAATCCCCTAATCAAACACAATATTAGA